ATATCATTACCGGTAGTTACTAGTACAGTACTTAAGGTGGGAGAAAAAGAATCGACCATTTCAATATAAGAAAGATCTTTTCAGTTCTTCCTTTAGCCATTTTATTTTATGATCAGTCTCAAACTATAACATGCACAACGAGGGATCAAGGGAACGTACATATCAAATTTGAGAAAGTTATTCCTGAGAAATAGTACTAACAAACCTTCAATTTCAAACATCAAAGATGGCTGTCGGTCGGCCATTTTGTTTATCTGATCAGATTAAAAAGTAAACATGAACAATGAAGGATAGTGGGAAACCTGCATATAGAATTTGAGAAAGAACCCTACAGTACTCCCTGGGAAATAGCACTAACAAACCTTAACTGTCAAAATCAAAGATTTTTTTTATCTAATCAGTCTCATACGAAAATATGCATATAACTTCATACCAAGGGGAACCTACATGAAAAATTTAAGAAAGATCCCTCAAGTACTTCCTGAGTAATATAGCCATAACAAATCTTCACTGTCCAAGATGGCTGCCTGTTGGCCATTTTTTTTATCTGACTAGTCTCAAAAGTTAACCTGCACAAAGAGGGAAGAAGGAAAACCTGCATTTTAAGTTTGGGAAAGATCCTTCCAGTGATAACAAACTTTTAATGTCACAATCCAAGATGGTGGCCTGTCGGCCATTTGATTTATTTGATCATTTTCAAAATTAAACATGCACAACTCCAGACCTAGGGAAGCCTACATAAAAAAATTGGGAAAGATCCCTCAAGTACTTCCTGAGAAATAGTGATAACAAACCTTCACTATCAAAATCCAATATGGCTGCCTGTTGGCCATTTTGTTTATCCGATCAGTCCCAAAAGTTAACCTGCACAACTAGAGACCAAGGGGAACCTACATATAAAATTTGAGAAAGATCCCTGTGGTACTTCCTGAGAAATAGTGATAGCACAATCTTCACTATCAAACCTACATGTACATATAAAATTTGAGAAAGATCCCTGTGGTACTT